ATATATATTATATATATATCATATATATATAGATATCATATATATATATCATATATATTATAGATATCATATATATATCATGTATATATATATATATATATATATATATCAAATATATATATATATATCATATATATATATATATATATATAAATCATATATATTATAGATATCATATATATATATATATATATATATATTATATATATCATATATATATATATATATATATATCTAATATATATATATCATATATATATATATATATATATATATATATATATATATATATATATATATATATATATATATCATATATATATATATATATATATATATATATATATATATATATATATATATATATATATATATATATATATATATATATATATATATATATATATCATATATATATATATATATATATATATATTATATATATTATATATATCATATATATATATATATATATATATATATATATATCATATATATATATATATATATAATATATATATATATATATATATCATATATATATATCATATATATTATAGATATTATATATATATATCATATATATATCATATATATATATCATATATATATAGATATTATATATATATATGATATATATATCATATATATATCATATATATATAGATATTATATATATATATATATATATATATATATATATATATCATATATATTATAGATATCATATATATATATCATATATATTATAGATATATATATATATAGATATCATATATATATATATATCATATATATATATATATATATATATATATATATATATATATATATATATATACACCAGGTGTAACAGCATAATTTTCCATCCCACAAAATGTTTAATATCTAAAAAAAACCCCAGTAAACTGAGTTGCTTTTTTCCAGGTTTTAAGATAAGACACCATTTGCCGTTAGATTCACTGAAAAACACTTTGATTTATTCAGCTTAAAAGAGACCAGGTTAAAATCGTTTTGTGTCAGACCCACTGTCTTCCCAAATGTTCAGTGATGAGAAGAAATGATCATTCAGGCGTACAGTAATGGTAACGACATTCATACTCTGGCTTTCATCTTCAAAGTCCATTAAAAAACCATTAAGATATCAATGAATGACTTTAAAAAAGGGGGAACAGTAGAGAAAAAAACTGTTTCAGGTCACAACAGCAAGATTGGTCATCATTTGAACTTAGGGCTAAAGAGATCAGTTAGAAAAGATCCAACTCAATCTACAAGTCATTTGGCACGTGAAAGATTAATTTCAGCTATGAAAGAACAGTGAAAGAAAACCAACCAACCAACCAACCAAACAAACAAACAAAAAAAAAAAAAAAAACCGATAATGAAATCGTACGTGAAACTTGTGAGGCATCTTGTTACCCCAAGGGCGAAGATTATCTTGAATAAGTTAAAAAATGATCCTGGAATAATATATGAACTTTATTTCAACTTCATTAAACTTCCGTTAAGCTTGGAGAGTAATTATACATTCTTATTGTTCAAAGTAGAGTACAATAGTGTTATAAAAACCTAGTGTTACAAAATAGTGTTATAAAAACCTATTTCTAAGATACAGGGGTTCAAAGCTTAATCTAACAACTGTATAATTTTACTGTTACACCCGGTATATAAATGCATGATAAAGTAAATATATATAGATACAAGTATGGTAGACATAATAAGAGAAGTGATAAAAAAAATTAACAAGAAACTAAACGAAATTGGATAAACAATATACCCACATACATCCAAATAAAAAAAAATATAATTTTAAATTTAGTTTAAAATTTCAGCGCCCGCTCTACTTCATGAGCATCACCGGAAACATCAATTTAGTCTGATGAAGTCCTAAAGGACGAAACGTCCCACACAAATGTTTTTACACTTTGTCATATACATATGGTATGGATATAAATAGATCAACATTTTTGGTGAACCAAGATCAAACTGAGGTGTAAATGCCGTCACAATGCAGTCTGGATACCCGTATCCAAACAGCTTCTAGCTATAAACACTCGATCTCCGATATATATATATATATATATATATATATATATATATATATATATATATATATATATATATTATATAATTTTACCTACGTATGTAAAAATTTATGAAGCAACACCAATATTTATTTATTATAAAGTCCATCATTCTCGAGGATCTTCTGCCAGCATCCAAATCTGTCCCAGATACCAGTCCGGTCCGCTGGCTTTGAATAAGCAACTGTAAACAAGCTTCCTTCATTTCATCAAAAATGTTGAATCTCTGGTCTAGGAGGAAGTGTGCCATTGAGCGGAATAAGCCGTAGCCACTCGGAGCAGCATTGGGACAAAATGGTGGATGTGATAGAGTCAACCCCCGTCCATCTGTTTGAACTAGTTAACCTGGCCAGGCAGTGTGTGGCCTCGAAATTATCGTGCTGAAACAAAGCCCGATCTCGATTGACCAAAATGGTATCCTTTAGTTTGTCGTACACACGCTCTAGCTGCTTGCAATACAGTTTAGCGTTGATGGCGCGGGCGTATGGAACAAGCTCGAAATGCATTACTCCTTGGAAATTCCACCAGAGATCAACATTTGTCATTTTCTTTTCGTTTTCTAAGTGAGTCAGGATTTTCTAGCCAACCTAGTATTATTCAATCTCCGTCATCTTTTTACAGAAGAATTTGGATGGTGTCCGTATGCAAGTGTGCGTATAGATTTTAGATAATATGATATATTATATATGACTAGTCTTTTTCCACTGAAAACCTACATGCATATGGGCGTCATCAAACTTATGTTCTAAAACATAACGGAGATTTTATATTTCGTAATTTCAAGAACAATGTAATGCTTAAGGAGTTTTACGCATAGCAGGCAAACATAAGCAATCATGGTTCTCCAGAGCATAATTTTCTTTTTCATTTGGGAATTGACATAAGATTTTTTGTAAAAATAATAAAGTTTATCTTCGATTTCTTCACGGTTTTGAATTCAGAGTTGTTCTTCTAACTTTCCTGTTCGAGAGCCCAGCCTCCGTTGCTATTTAACTCATTTCCGAGGAAGAAGAGAGGGATTCTTGCCTTATCCAAGGGCATTAGTGTGATATGAACGCAACAGACTGGGATCGTCGAATCCGTTTCCGATAGCCGTCACGTTACCCTCACATCTCCAGCAAAATATTTATGCGAAATAGGACAACTAACTTACACACGCACACAGAATTATATCCTAAAATAAATTTGGTACAAGGCTATAATTGTAGGACACCTAGTGAGGAATCGATTGGCGACGAGGTTAATGGCCTGTTAGGCTAGCCTTCTAAACAAAAGTCCAAAGCAATGAGCCAGTAATATTTATCACTGTTACCTTGACGTGACTTAAGAACACGAATGCTGGGTGCCCAATGAGGATCGAATTCCTTATGCAAGCGAAGTAGCTTGCTAAACGTTGCACTACGGAAACCGCATAGTAATGTGTATATTCGGGAAGTAAAGAAGTATAAACCCATCTTACTATACAAACTTGCCCTGAGATGAATATGCATAAATACACACTTAGACACATGGATGTAAGTTTAGACACACACACACACACACACACACACACACACACACACACACACACACACACACACACTAAACCGATATGAATGAAGGTCAAATATGGAAGGTGCCCAGAGTACGCCGTAGCAGGCGCGTTTGTAGGAAGGAAGAGATCTTAAGTACTTACTTCATCTTCTAACATAAAAGTAAGCAAAGTAATGGCCTTTACACCTTTCTTTCTATTATCTCAAAACGATGGAAGCTTAGCTTTCACCTTTCCATGTTTTCCGTTTCTTATATTGTTTAATGTTTTGCAACAGTGGCAAACATTCATCAAGAAATAATAGTTTACAAGCTCAAACGGACAAAGAATGTTTTTTCCCCTCTTTTTTTTTTTTTCGGAAATTAATGAAATAAAAGGAATCCTTCAAAGAATTTCGGCAAACATATTTCTCGAAATTTCCGTCACTGACAGATGCAGTTGAATAGAGCAAATTTTAAAGCAAAAATTTGATGGCCTCTTTTCAGGGAATGATTTAATTTACTGCCAGTTGTGATTTGCTGCTGGAGCCCGATTGAAAAAAAAAAGAAGTAACTGTCGAAGCTTACGAACAAGATTCGTTCCCGTGGTTTGTTTTTATGGCCAAATTATTCGGAAGTACGTAATATAAATAGAGTGCCATAAAATAAAGGACGTACGGGGCTAAATTAGATATTCAGTTTTAAAGATTCATGCATCTACAATTCTTATCTGATTCTACATAAAATGAACATGTTTTTCATTTTTTAGATATAAAGAAAAGTGTGGAGGGCCATGATCCCCAACGTCATAAAGAGATATGGAACATAGAATAGAATAACTATAAACATTTTTTTCTTGCCATTTTAAAAACACATTTCTTTTTGCGTTTGTACTTATTTTCTGCAATATAACCAATAAACTTTTTCTGCATATAAGCCATATATAAATATTTTAGTAGGTAATATCTGAGGGAGGCGGGGACACAAGATAAAAAAAACCCCCAAAAAACCTGGTATAGGATGCTTTCTGATTTATTTTAAAAATTAATAGCAGTAATGATTTTAGACAAATGATGATGTTCAGCAGAATTGCATTGTCATAAATTGAGGTAAATAAAACAAGTTTTAGTTTAGTTCTCATGACTGATTCATGGATTTGTTTTTCACGGTTTATCAACCCATTTACAGGTTATTTAAAGCCAGAAAATATTTTAAGATTCTAAGATTTTTTTGAGATAATAATGGTTTTACTAATTAACCCGAAGCTGGCGGGAGAAGGGGTGGATTCATACCTTTATCAATGGTATTTGCACGTAAGTGAATATAACGACCCCAATTGGAATTGGAACACTGCTTTCCTATTAATAATTCCAAGCTATTATCTATTACACCACCCGCATATCCAAGCTTACAACACCTGGTAATCCTAAGCGGTCACCCCTCTAGGTACTGATCAAGTTCAACGTTGCTTAACTTCGGTGATCGTACGGGAACAAGTGATTGAACGTGATGTGGTCGTAAGCAGTTTAGTTCTCAGTCCCAACACTATGTCTGTAGGGGATATAAAGCTCCTATCGCCTCTATAGCGCCGTGGATGTAGCATCAATAATAATAATAACATAGGCTGTATATTCTAAGAAAGTAGTAGTCCTGTGGATGACGGTAAACTACAACCGGCAGCAAGGCCTCTGATTGGGAGACTGGAAGTTTTGGGGAGCATGGAACCACCTCTTAATTGCCGTTCCCGCTGACCCGGAGTGGTAGCACCTGTTAGGATCCCAGCTATGGGCAAATAGTGAACCCCACCAAACAAAACAATATGAAAGTATAAAAATACGTTTTATAGTAAAAGTACCAGCAATACATTTTTATATAAAAATTACCAACAATACATTTTATCAATAGTTGAAGACATACAATTGCGTTCAAAATATATTTAGTTGATGACATAAAATTATGTTCAAAATATTTAGATTTCGACATTAAGTAACTTATAGAGGTTGATATACCACTAAGCAAAATTAACCAACCAACCAACCAACAAAGGAGAGAAGCAAATGGTTTGAAAGAGTGTTGAAATTGTGTCATTGGCTGCTCTGGGACTTAAGAATTATGTTAAGTTCTCATGAACTGATTCTGATATGTGCACGTAAAGTGGATGGGGATCTGGAAGCGGGAAATGTGCTAGTAGCAAGGAAGTAGCATAAGGAGAAGTGGCATGACAAGTTAAAAGAACAGAAGTTTCAGGGCTTGTTTTCTTTTCAGCAGACACAGACAATTGTTGGAGCAGAGAGGGAGCTTTCAGTAAAAGAGGGTTTCTAAAGAGAGAAACAGTCGTTAATATTTGCAGCGTAGGAGCACACCATCAAAATGAATGCAGCCAAGGCCAGGATAAAGAGATCCCAGGTAGAAAGCAAATGTGTGCGTAAGCTAATTCAGACAGTAAACCACATAGCCGCTGAATGTCCCAAGTTGGCACAGAAAGAGCATAAGCGACGACATAATTGAATTTGTAAGAGAACGCATTCGGAAGTATAATGTAAAGTATGGCTTCAGTGTAAAAAAGATGTTGTATGAACATCAACCAGAGGCAGTGGTAGAAAATGATAATCACAAGATATGAGATTTCTTAGTTCAAACAGATTATGTCACTGAAGCACGAATACTCGGCCTTATAGTTATAGAAGAATAATATATAGTATATATATTATTATATAATATATAGAATAATATATAGCGTACATATTATTACAGAATATATAGAATAATATATAGTATACATATTATTACATAATATATAGAATAATATATAATATACATATTATTACATAATATATAGAATAATATATAATATACATATTATTACATAATATATAGAATAATCTATAGTATATATATATATATATTATTACATAATATATAGAATAATCTATAGTATATATATATATTACATAATATATAGAATAATCTATAGTATATATATATATATATTATATAATATATAGAATAATCTATAGTATATATATATATTATTACATAATATATAGAATAATCTATAGTATATATATATATTATTACATAATATATAGAATAATCTATAGTATATATATTATTACATAATATATAGAATAATCTATAGTATATATATATTATTACATAATATATAGAATAATATATAGTATATATATTACATAATATATAGAATAATATATAGTATATATATATATACATAATATATAGAATAATATTTAGTATACATATTATTATATAATATATAGAATAATATATAGTATATATATTATTATATAATATTATAGAGAATAGTAAGTGCCAAATTATTGAGTTTGCTGTTCCATATAATACAAGTGTGGACATCAAAGAAACTGAAAAGATTAGAAAATACCAGAAGCTATGGAACATGAATTTAGAACTAATTCCTGTAGTAATGGTGATTTTTCTAAGCGTAGCTTAGAGGTGATTCCAGACTGAAATTATGGTGAACCAAGTGAGAATCTAACTCCTTGCTCAGTAGTAATTGTTATAGCATGACAAGCTTGTTAACCATTACACCACGTCGATGTGATTAAATCCTGTATTAATGAGTGTGCTTAGAATACCACATGAGAGAAGGCAATAAAGCCACTAAGACGCCAGGGGTTTACTGAAATAGAATGAGAAAACTTTCGTTATGAGAAAAGAAAAATAAAAGAACAGTTCTCAGGAAGACAGAAGATGGCGATTGACGTTGCATTTAAATTTTTGAAGATCGTATATAGCTGGGAAGTAAGAAACCGGAAGAGAGTTAAACAGGTGAGAAGTTTCAGAAAAGAAAATATTAGAATAGAACTTACGGTTTTATCTTGGTATTTCAATAACAAAATGAAGAAACCTAGGAGCTAATCTTGTAGTACGCTTAAAGTCATGAGGTCGAGGTACCATGGAGGAGAACTCGTTAGAACAGTTATATATAGAAAAGACAAAGGGAAACCACGTCACGGCGGTGGGGAAGTGACTGAAGTTAATTATGCCAGGTCAGGACCGATAACATTACAAACCCTTCTTTGGATATTGTCGAGAAAATCTATATATATTCCTGGATCCTCAAACGAGAGATGGCAGCAGTATTCAATGTACGGACAAATGGTAGTTTGACGGCCTTAAGTAGCGAAAGAAAGACGGAAAGGAGAAAGGAAAACAAACGGAAAGAAGAAAGGTAAAAAAGACAAAAAGAAGGAAGAACGAAAGACAGAAAGAAAGACAGAAAGAAGAAAGCAACACAGACGGGAAGAAGAAAGGAACACAGACGGAAATAAGAAAGGAAAAAAGACAGAAAAAAAGGAAGGAAGGAAGAACAAAAGACAGTAAGAAAGACTGAAAGGAGTAAGGAAAACAGACGGAAAGAAGAAAGGTAAAAAAAGACAGAAAAAACGAAGAAATGAAAACTGAAAGGAATGAAAGATGAAAGAAAGAAAGTTTCACCAATTAGCGACGGGGTCGAGATAAAGGGAATCTGAGCCAGACATATGTAAAGACACGCGAGACAGATAAATAAATCCTTAGATACATGCATAGATAGGTAATGGCAAGTCGGAAAAAGACAAATATGAAGAGACTTGAGATAGATGTCTCGGGAGATGTGAACAAACTAAGATGTATAGATATGAACACATTGTAACATTTCTGTTTCGGAATATCTCGGATATTGTACTTCAAACAAAACAATTTAGCTTTGAAGTATATACCATCGCCATAAATATATTAATCTACAAGATGGAATATGGCGAGAAAAATTGTCTGGCTCGACATAGTGCAACCAACTTTCCTGGCAGCCGCCCTATCAATTGATTCATTATCCACGCTATGTCAGTGGAGAACGTAAGACCAAGAAAGCGCAAGGATTTTCTCGCCTGGAGCTTAGCATCAGCTATGCTGATAGAAGGCAAAACGATTCTCCATACTGATTATTTCAAAGCTTATTTCCAGTTTGGATATAGATAAATATCCTAAGTTTCTCTGCTCTTAGCTTGATAGGTGTCATTTGCCGGATCGATACTTAAAGGCCGTCAATTAGAGTACAACCACTTGAGAGGTTAAAAAGAAATATGGTTTCCATTATCATTACTTAATCCAATATTATTCCACCTTTCCCAACAATCATTTCTCTTGCGTAAGCTTTATCAATGAATTATTCGAAAAGCAACAACCAACGCCATTTTGGCCGCTGTTTCATTTCGAACTATTAATCAACACGCTCACAAATTATTGCGTTTGCTTTTACAGCTCATTTATTTAGACGAGTGACGACATTGCTTTTCGCTGGTCAACATCTGCCTTCTGAAACTTGACCGTATTTTCTATGGGAATGAATTATTATTTAGAGCATTGGGGATAAGTGCCAATTTGGTTGAGACTGGTTTCCCTTCAAATGTTATATATTTTCCCCGGCCAAGTCTCCAGTTCAACATGTGTTATCGATATATTTGCCAGTGTAATTGGTCGGGCACATTTACAGAGTTTAATATACTTATGGCGATGGTATATACTTCAAAGCTAAATTGTTTTGTTTGAAGTACAATATCCGAGATATTCCGAAACAGAAATGTATTAAAAGAGACATATTTTTTTTTTCAGCTGACAGTGTTACAATGTGTTCATATCTTAGTTTGTTCACATCTCCCGAGACATCTATCTCAAGTCTCTTCATATTTGTCTTTTTCCGACTTGCCATTACCTATCTATGCATGTATCTAAGGATTTATTTATCTGTCTCGCGTGTCTTTACATATGTCTGGTTCAGATTCCCTTTATCTCGACCCCGTCGCTAATTGATGAAACTTTCTTTCTTTCATCTTTCATTCCTTTCAGTCTTCATTTCTTCGTTTTTTCTGTCTTTTTTTCCTTTCTTCTTTCCGTCTGTTTTCCTTTCTTCTCTTTGTCTTCCTTTACGTCTTACCTGCTTTTATTTCTTCTTCCTTCATTCTTTCTGTTTTTCTTTACTTTTTCTGTCTTTATTGCCTTCCTTCCTCCTTTTTTTCGTCTTTCCCTCTTTCATCTTCCTTCCGTCTATCTTTAAGTCATTTTTGTCCCTCCTTGTTTTTCCATTTTTCTTTCATTCCTTTCTTCTGTCTCTTTGTCCTTCCCAATTACGAACCTGGCTTGACGAAACATAGCAAGAGAGTGAATGATATAACCCAAAATTCATTCAGTGTAATCCATCTTTATACACTCTGTTTATCAGTCCTCAAAGTGTATTAATTTTTTCAAATGGTAAAAACAAAGAAACTAGTATAAAAGCTATGTACAATTTTTTCTTTTTTATGAATTAGTGTGTACAAGATTTAAAGAAATGGAAACTAGAAAGAAATTTATGCTTTAAATCAGAAAGAGTTGACATTTTGGGGACACATTATAAGGAAAGATGACCTGGAAAGTTCAACATTCACAGGAAATATTAAAAGGGAGGAGAAGCAAAAGAAAATCGTGAGTAACCTATTTAATGAGTTTGCATAAATGGAGTGCAG